TATCATTCTTCACTGAATCACTGTGATCGATACCCCCTTCTAAAACAGACGGAACTATCTAATCACGTCCACGAATTGCTCTTTCCTTTTCTTTCTTTCCATCCCGGCTGTGGTACTCGTGTCAACGCGGGCGCAGAGCCACCGTCAAGCGACTACGCCGGCTACATAACCACAGGACTACACCGGCCACACATCAAAACGGTAATTTCATCCGTCGATAGTCCTCTTCCCCTCTATGGTCGTTTCCCTGTCTGATCTCCTCTAGTCTTCATTCGTGTGTATCGTCCGTGAGCTGACGACGAAACAACCGCGAGTGCATTTGACTTACACATCTCTGCCTCCACCTACACATCCATCCGTCCAGGGAGGGAGGGAGCAAGTCGTGCATGTTTCATGTCCGGCCATGGACAGAGGAATTCCTACATACTGCAATTCCTGGCGACTGGCGTCTCCCGCTTCTCGTTCGGCAAATGACACACACCTAGTTCATCACCCGTGTCAGTGAGCGCCGACAGGTGAGACCTCACATGCCTTCTCCGCGCACGCGTCTCTTCTCTCTTCACATCTCTCGGCCCCCACCCAGGCCCCTCCACCAAGCCGGCCCAGCCCCGCAGCAGGAATTCGGCACAGGTGCCCTCCGGCTGGCCGGCGAGGAGCAGCCCGGCGTCCAAGTATGGCTAGGGTTTAGTGCACAATATCAAGGATTTGTTATTGGGGTGAAAGGTCTACTCACCCCGTCCCAAAATAAATGATGTTTTTTTTTTATTTCTGAACTTCTTGTGTCACCGTTCGTTTTATTCAAAAAATTTATATAAATACTATTTATTTTATTATGACTTATTCTATCATTAGAGATACTTTAACAATAATTTATTTATTTTATTATTTATAAAAAAATTAAATAAGACGGTCAAATAAGAAGTTTAAAAGTAAAAAACGTCACTTATTTGGCTGGTTTCGCTATTGGTTCCGCTCCTCTGCCTCCAAAAGGCGTTGGCAGGCCCAGGAGTAGATGGGTGACCGCGCCCACGTGGAGACCCGCCACCGTCGGGGATCTCATTCAAGTGCAGATACGCATCTACGAGCCCACTAAGCCAGGATTTGCATGGGGGCTCCTCCGCGTCGTTACTAGCCAGGTAGGAGTAGGACCTCGCATTTTGATCTTAACTTGTTTGTTCTTCATTCCTCCCATCGATCTGCTATTTTTCTCGCTGTTAGCAGCTGCAGATCACACTGTTCTGAATTGCTTGTCTGGTCATGTGCTTTCTTATTCAGTGTAGTAGCCACTTCCATTTTCAGATCAGCAACACCAGTTATTGTTCAGTGACAGCAACAACACAGTTCTAATCCATTAGTTAAGGTAATTATGGCAAGGTAATTTGAACATCACTGTGCTTTAAACAATTCTTACATGTGTGTTGAAAATTTGTGATCTTATAGCAGCACATTTTGTTTTACTTGGTTGGACTGCTATGTTTGGTGGCAGCAGCAAGCAGTTTGCATAGGTTCTGAACCTTGTGATTTGCAATAATCTGTGCACAATTGCTTGTGACTTCTAGTTTATTACATTGCTGATGAGTATATGCTTTGAATAGTTTAATTCTTGTTTGGATGTTGACTCCTTTGCTTGATCATTATATCAGAGCATATAGCTGTATGTGTTTGGCATCAACTTTTTTCGTTTCACAGCAGGTCATCGATAGCTACCCTGTATACTTGTGTAAGCCTGTTACCGTAGTAGTAGTAGTAGAGCAGCTAAGTGAGCCTCTAATTTCAGAAGTATCACTTTGATGCAATAGTGAATCAACTTTTAAAGCAATCTTTAGCTGTTGCAGAACCACCACCACTCCATCTTGGACCAAACCATAAATGGGCAATGTGGTTACAAAATATCAAAATGCTAACCTCCAAAAGAATCTGACATGTGACCTCTTTATTATTGTTTAGTATGGTAATTAATTCAATTGCTAAAACCTCAAAGCTCATTAATTGTGTTCTATTTTGATTCCCATGTCATTTCATTAAAAGGTATGTCTGAGTCTTTCAGTTCACCTATGTTTGGTGGTTTTCTAGGCCGTGCTTGTACAGCCATGGACAAATTGGTCAGTGAGGACGACACAGGCAAGCTAGAAGAGCTCGTTGTTGTTCCCGACTTCCTGCACAGGGTGTGGGTGCTGGAATTACACTATTAGAGGTTGTGACTTCAGAACTTTTGCAACACTAATAACCTATTTAATTGGACCTAAGCAGAGTAGTTTGCTGATTTTCTAGGCTATATGACCTGGTTTTAGAACATTGTTCCTTCCTGAAGAACTTGTTAGTTTTGAGAGCTGTTTGATTGAAGATAAGGGGTGAGTGGCTCTGATAAAAATAGGAAGCAAATTCTGAAGCACAAATGTATTAGTAAACATTGCTACAACAATTATGTTGGTTCATTTTTCTATCAAATATTCAAATCATTTTTATTCTTTGGTTTATGCCAGTTTGCGGCAATACTATAGATTGAGAAAACTTATTCTTTAGACGTGATGAGTATGTTTTAGAATATTGTACTTCCATGAGAATGTGTATGTATAATATAACTACTTAATCTTTTTTCGGGTGACTAAGAATAACACAAGAGAATTGTTTTTTTTACTCTTTTAGCTAAAGTCTTATCCTGCTGGTAACAGGGAATCAACTGCTAGCAATAGAAATTAGCTTTAATGCAAGAGTTTAATAAGGCTAAACTTCTTCTGTGAGATACAAATGCAAAGCAAGGCCATTAGAATAATATGTAACCCATACATGTTTGCTTTATCATTACCACATTTAACGATTATGCTTCTCCTCGTGACTGACCCTTATTCTGATTTCACGTGTAAACAGCGCAGGGGAAGGAAGCACGGGGGAGCGAGTGGAGGCAGAAGCGCTATATTCGTTGCTGGCACCGTTTCCGTGTGTTTTTTTACCGTCATTTGAGAATATTTTGTTCCAAACAGGCCCTTAGTAACGTGATTAGATTTTCTGGTTGTTTACTTTATTTGAAATCCTCCACATTACCTGAAACAAAAAAATATAAAGTGGAGGGTGTAGAAGCCATCTCTGTTTCGACCTGTACAATGGGAGAACTGGATTTTTTGAAGTACGGCCTGATTATATCTTCCTTAGACTTTATGATGTAGTATGTATTTTACTGACATATTTCAGTTAGCTTCTCACATTCCGTCCTGCAGTCTTATGGTTAAAAGGTATATTTTGATTCCATGAAAGTATGCCTTCCTGACCAACTGATTTGTTTGATCAGGCAACTTGTGAGATAACAAGACCAAGGTGGATAAGAACCGGTGGCATCTGAACCGTCAAATTTGCCTCGCTGCATTCTGCGCTGGTGATTCTGCACTTCTGCAGTCACACCACACAAGGTGGATAAGAACCGGTGGCATCACAACCTTTCTGGTCCCTTGCTTAGATCTGCACATTCCACCTACAACATAGCCAATACAAAACGCTTAAATCCCGGACGTCTTCCCCTCCGGTTAGGAAAAGATAGCCTAACCAACCATTTGGCCGTTATTTAACTGCAAGAAAGCTGCATTCCTCCTACTCTCACTTCTTCTACATAAATAACCTCCTGTTGCCACTGTTGCAGAAGCATGCATGCTCCATTTCCCCGCAAATAAGTAATCAAATTATGAAAATGTATCGCGTCCAAGCTGCAAGGATGTCTTATGTTGTGCTAGCCCTACTAGCCATCTCTGCCGTTGTCTCGACGGAGGCAGCAGGCGTCGTCGACGCGCCGAGTCCAGCTCCGTCGGGGCCTCTCAATCTGACGGAGATCCTCAGGAAGGGCACCCAGTACAACGCGTTCATTCGCCTTCTCAAGGACACCGAGGTGACCTCGCAGGTGACCAGCCTGCTCGACAGCGACCGGAACGCCGACGGCCTGACGGTGCTGGCCCCGACCGACGCGGCGTTCGCGGGTCTCAGGCCAGGCACGCTCAACCGGATGGACGCGCAGGCGCAGTCGCAGCTGGTGCTGTTCCACATCCTGCCCAAGTACTACACCTTCGTGTCGTTCCAGACCACCACCAACCCCGTGCGCACGCAGGCCTCCGGCCAGCACGGCGTGTACACCGTAAACGTCACCAGCGGCGGCGAGCGTCAGGTCAACGTGTCGTCGGGGCTCATGGAGGCCATGCTAGGGAAGACGCTCTACTCGGCGTACCCACTGGCGGTGTACTCCGTGGACAAGGTCCTGCTCTCGCCGGCGCTCTTCGGCCGCAGCGCCGTGAACGATGGAGCCGAGGCACCGGCGGCGGCTTCAAAACCGCAGAAGCAAGCGCCTTCTTCGACTGCGGCTGATGATCAAGCTCCTGCTAATGAGGCTGACGCCACGGCCGCGGGGGCAGATACCACAAGGACCAGGTGGCTGCTGGCTTCTGCTGCTACTGCGTCCGCGGTCGTGCTCAGCCTGCTCTCATGCTAAGTGAAAGCAATCGATCAACGTACGTGTGCATTCAAATCCTAAACTGTATTCATGCACATTTCTTCTACTATTTGTCATCTATTCGGATGTATGGTACGGATCGTGAATACTTCTAATTTCAATGCTAAATTTAGGCCAAAATGGTTACAATATGTACCATTTGCGACCAAATTGCATTTGTTGGGAGGTGTGACAAGTATTGGTATGGTCAAGTTTGTGTCTCGAACTAGTGCATTGTATTTATGCATACAAACACAAACAGTCCATGCGATGCGACAATGGGCGGGTGGGCAACCCAGTTGGAACTCAGGCAAGTAGACCTTTTTTTTAAAAAAAAAAAGCTAATGCAAGTACTAATGCTAAATGGGGTAACAGATATAAATAAGCACGCCAATGAGCGTTGATATATATATTTGAGGCACATATGCTTAACAAATATAAATAAGCATGCTTATGAGCGTTGATACACAACTGATCCACGAGGAATACAGCTCCACCAAAGTAGTGACAAGTGCCCAGCATTTTCTTGAGCTCAGACAAGTTGATTGCCAATGTCCTGGTCCTGGATGCAGTAGCAGATCAGACTTTCGACAATGGTACCTGGGGATACCGATCTATCATAGATCCGACTGCATCTGCTTCCATCTGCAATATTGTACTCCTCAGTGTTGATATCACATTCCCACGCCAAATAGATGGTATCAGCAGTGGCATAGGGAAAGGCCTCTATTGATACCGAAATGGTGCGCATCATGCCCATGAACACGGCACGTCCGTTGAGGCGCTTGACTGGGATCAAGATCCCAGCTTCCAAATCCAATCTATAAACATTATACTTCCTGCGTTTGTCCTGGACAATAGTTCGGTGCACCAGCATCAGTTCTCCACCATTGTCCACCAGGTGAAGGCTGTCCCTCATTTGGGAAAAATAAATAAATGACTTCTTCAGGTCAGCAACCATGATCAGCCGCGGTGGCTGCTGCTGATCTGAAGCGGTGGTATTCAGCACCATGACACCTCTGTGGGTGGCACAGTAGAAACGCCCCGCGAAAGGCAAAGCTGAATCTATGTATCCGTCATTTACCACAGTCCAACTGTCGCCACCACGCTTAGCGAAAGCAAGCTTCATGGGATAGAAGAAGGAGACTGCCACTGTAGAGTCCTCAGTGAGGCCAACGGCTTGCACAAAAGGACCTTCTTTTTCTTCCGGCTCATCACAGTCGTCTCCACCTTGCACGAATGCGGTCGGAGGGGGAAGGTCGATGAGCTGGCGCGTGAGCGGGTTAAGCAGTCGAGCAATCGTTGTGGGTTCGTCGAAAAGCAGCAGCAGGCCGTCGGGGGTGACCGCGAGAAACCTGTGCTCCCCCTTCGATAGCTCCGGGAGTCCCATCCGAATGCACTCGCCAGTAGACACGTTGAGGAAACGATGGTGGCAGGCCCTGCAAGTGCGGCTTTGTCAAGCATAATCCACCGGCGGGGTAGAAAGCGAACGTCCAGGCCGCCGCCGGCGCGCGGATCTGGCGAGCACTGCCGCCACGGTCGGCACACGGCGCGGAAGCGGACATAGTCGGCTACATCGCTGGCGAGGGCAAGCTCGGCGATCAGGCCGGCCGGCCCGTCCCCAAGGTTCGCCCAGTCGCTTGTGCAGGTGCGGCCAGCGCCGAGCGCGGAGCGCGCGCGCTTGCCCCCCCAGTAGCAGTTGATCAGAGCCTCGAAGCCAACGATCGAGTATTTTCGCTTCGCTCCCGGTGATCGGATCTGGGCGGAAGAGGGAACGAGATTCGGTCTACGCGACTGCTCCCGGCATCGCAACCGTCCGCTGCCATTCAACGGAGCAGCTGAGCCCAAGCACTACGCCTCGTTCGCGCCTCGTTCGCACGTTGGGGTGGCCTAATAACACGGTCTATTAAGCCAATAAAGCAGCGGGCAGCCCACAGCCCCTACCGAGAGCTCCCATGGATAAGTAAATCGCCACCGCCGTCTTCTGCTCGAGCGCTGTGCCGTTGCCATCCCGTCGTGGAGAGCCGCGCTGTCGCATCCCCTCTCCTAGAGCTGCGTCGTCGCCATCCCTTCGCTGCGGGCCGCATCGTCACCGTTCCCGGGCCGAGCGTCTCCCCGTCGCCGTCCCTTGCCGAGCGCCGTCGTCGTCCTGGACACTGCCGGCCTGCAGCGTTTCCACCTCGTTCAGGAGCCGTCTAGGACCACGGCTGCTGTCCAGGAGCTCGACTAGCTGCAGCACGACTACTGTCCAGGAGCTCTCTCAATCTCTAATGCTCTAAGCACGGTCTATAGAGAACACAACTGAAGATAATTAATTATATTTTGTGTTATTACATACCTTTGAACATTTTTTCTTTTTATTGCCTCCCTTCTTTGCTACCTTGCGCTTCTTGTCAAGTCAATTTTTTTTGCACTTTGAGGTTTTTGTTTCCACCTCCTTTTTCTTTAGGCTTGCTATACTCACCAAATCAATGGAGGAGCAATATTTATGGGAACAATGATCAGATCCACGGCACTAGAAAAACCATTGATTTCTTCTTCGACTTGCTTGCTAAGTATGCCAAGTGTGTTGTTCACTAATAAGGTGCATCTTGGATGACTGGCAGCTCGATGATCTAAATTGAGAAATTTGCGAGTCATATTTTTGTAGCGAAGCATATCATCTATTTTTTGATTCTCTATTATGTTTCGGTCTTGGTTGTCTTGTGTTGTCCCAATGCGTGCTTTTCGTGTCCATCTCTTCAATATATATTGGGCTGGGAGTAACTTGATATTCATCAAATCAAGAACTTTTAGAGCATGGCCACACAATATTCCGATTCTATTGAACTGTCCATAGCTACATGTACTGGTTTGGTCTGAAGTATCACCAGTAACTTTGTACTCCTTCTCAAGGGTAAAATTTTCATCAAGACTCCTAATTGCTACAAGATATTTATTTTTGCCTTCTAATGTTGTGGTGTATGCTGCCATGGACCTCTCATATTCATATTGAAAAGCTTGAAAAATAGTTGGTGTGTATAGCTTGCTAGCTTCGATTAACATAGGTGTTCTCATTTTGAGCCTAGATAATTTTTTCCTTGATTCAAATTCAGCATTCAATTCATTATTTCTTTTATATTCCACGACCCTTTCAAAATGCTTAAGAAATCGAATGATATCAAAATCAGATTTAAAATGGCGCTTCAAGTCATTGTTTAGACTCTCACTTAATTGTGTACTTCTTATCCCTAATGTGAACACACCCTTCATATAACATTCAGTCCATTTTTCTCTCACCTTGTATATACTATCCAACCAAGTTTGCTTGCTGACCTTTGTCCTTATGTTGTTAAATGCTTGTTCAAATGTTTTTTCATCTTCGTACTCATACATACATGAACTAAAATCTGAGAAAATACTTGGTTCTTTGTTGCTGCCTTCAACTTCTTGTTTCGGAGAAGTAGTTGATTCCTCATCATCATGTTCAGCTAGATGTTTAACAGCATTTTGCATGATGTGAAAAGTGCACAGACCATGCCAAGACTCCAAAAAGACCGCCTTAACTGCTTTTCTCATTGCAGCATCTTGATCAATATAGATTGTTTTAGGTTCTTTATCATTATGCGCTTTCAGGAAAGTCTCAAATAGCCACTTAAATGACTCAAATGTATCATCATACATGAGAACAGCACTAAAAATCACGGTTTCCCTAAAAATAATTGAACCCAACAAATACACCAAAAGGCCTACTCTCTTTGTTTGTTCCAAAAGTAGTATCAAAACTGACAACATCACCAAAATATACATAGTCAGTGAGCATTTTAGCATCTTCCCAGAAAATGTTTGTTATTTGTTCTTCCCAGTCCATTTGCAAAGCATATTGAAATAACGAGTTCTCAGTAATTTTTTCCTCAAAATACATAAGCATGCTTCCTGCTCGACCATATGCCATCTCTCTTTGGCGCTTGCCCCTTAAATAGTTCTTGTGGTCTCGAAGAGTGTAACTGAGATTAAGTGAGCCACCAACTTGGATGGAAGCCAACTCATGTGCAGCTTTGAGCCCAATTCCTACATCATCAGACGTCTTAATTTCAAACCCATGTAACTCTGAAAATTTTCCTTGAGACACCATCAAGTGTGAGGTTTGTGGTAATTGAAGGGTGTGATTGTGTTCCAAAATCAATCAGTTACTTTATAATTTCCCTTCTCCTGGTCTAGTATGAGACCTATGCGGACTTGACAATCAGTTCTAGTTTCAGCTCTTGGACACTTTGTGAGATGATTTCTTTTATCTTGCACTCTATGACCTTCATTTGCACAAACATATATGCAAGATCTAACTTTTTCATCATATTTTCTTTTGTTTGCATACATTTTTCTAACCTCAAAGCCTTTTTGACCTCCAAAGGTAACCAAAACATCCAGGCCTCTTCTATGGTACTGAACTGCATGCCAACTTGAGGTAACAAACCAGAAATCAAACTCTCCCTACAACAAAAAATGATTTGGAGCTAAACTGAGCAACTAAAATGGAGACTGTACTTGTGTGAAGCCATTAATCTAATCTGATGATGCAAATAAACAATCAAGATTACACACCTATTTTCTACCATATGAAACATGCAGGTTTCGTTTTCACACAGACAAAGAACTTCTTTCAATCCATATCAACACATCTAGGGATGCCAGCGATGACTAGATTAGAACAACGAAAAATCTTGGTAGAGAGAAAGATCTAGGAGTGCAGAGTACTCCACCAATTGATCGTATCAACGGCAGCATAGCACGAGAAGTCGATGATCGCCGCCTCGCCTCGGTCATCCTGGCTCTAGCCCCCGCGCCAAAACAAGCCGCGTCCACGCCAAAACAGCGAGTTGTCGCGCCAAAAAAGGAGGAACGCCGCCGGCTGCTTTTTCCGCTTAGCAGGCCATGTTATTGGGCCAAAACATGCACGTGCGAAGGAGGTATTGCCTGGGCTGAGCTTCTCTGTCGGATGGCATTGAACGGCAGCGATGGAGTGACTGCCGACAATAGTCATGGAGACCGACTTCAGAGGATCTCGTTCCCGGAAGAGCAGGGGCGACGTGGATGGCGAAGGGTGCTCGGTCGCTTCGCTACCCGCCGGTAGGGGATCAGGACTCCGGACATCCCCGCCAGCCACTTTTCCCGCCGGAAGGAGGTCTGGGCTCCAGAGGGATCCGCCAGCTTATTCATCTGTTTCCACCGCCGTCAGAAATCGGCGGGATCGGGACTAGCCCTGCGTGGGGGACAAGATAGAGGAGGCCCTGTTTACGACAACTTCTTCGCACCACACACGCTTTGAGTCAAAGCTAGCTTTCTCCTCCCACGCCTGGCTTGGTAAAGAATCGGGATCGGAAAAGAATCACGGGGAGAGAAGCTTACCGTTTGGCACACCGATTCTAGAGGAGCATCACCGGCACCGAAGATCTTGGTCAACGCGGATTCGGTAACTTTTGCCCTGTTCACTTGGCTTATAAGCCGTACTTTTTCAGCCAACGAACAGTATTTTTCTTCCACCACAAATCAGCCAACGATACTTTTAGCCATGGCTTATCAGCCAAACGAACAGGGCTTTTCTTTCAGCAAGTTATGTACTCTTGCCATCTACCCTCCAATCAAGATCCAATGGTTCCATCGCTTTTACACGTACGACGACGCAGGGAGGAGTGCTCGCTGCCAACCAGACTAAACGGCGAACGTCCGCCTAAAATAAATCTAGCGAACGATTTTTGGACATGCTACATTTTCTTTTCTAGTAAAAAAATCTCGCATTTTCTTTTCTGGATGAAACCACGCGCGCAGCAGCCATTCTTCTTTCAAGGCGCGCTTTCCTAAGCTGCTGACATCATTAAAAAAAGAAAAACATTTATTTCAAAATGCTATAAGTTCTGAATGGTATATCCGTTTTTAATTTACATGTGTTTCGAAGAATTTTTTTCTAATAACAACTTATGTGTACAAACTCATAACGCAAATCTTATAACATATGACTTATGTCAAAAACTTATAAATACAAAAGTTATAAAAACACAACTTATGTAAAAAAGTTATGAAACACAGCATATGTTAATAAGTTATTTCAAAAACTTATGTACTTAAGTTATTCTATACAACTTGTCAACGCTACATAATAAAAGTTAAGATAAAAAACGTGTGTTAATAAGTTTTGCTCTGCAAAATTTTATATTGTAAAAGTTGTGACATATAAGTTGTGGTAATATATTGTGCATAAAAGTTATGTGTATAGCTTGATAACTTTCCAAAAAAAGAAAAGAAAAGTTAACTGTATAACTTGTTTGTATAACTTAAATATATATAACTTGATGAATGACTTATATGTAAGTTGGACGTAAAAGTTATATTCTATAACTTAGTTGTACAAATTAATATCATAACATAATAGCTAAAACTATATAAAAAAATAACTGTATAGTATAACTTATAAATATGTAACAAAAAAGATAAAAAATGGTAGAAAGAAAAAAAAATAAACGTTCGTACATGTGCAGCCAATAGCAAATGCCATGAGACAAATCTGACAAATGTACGGAATATATCTACGTACCATGGAAAAGGAGAAAAATATTTAAGAACAAAGTGGAACCTATAAAAAACAGCACAGAATAACTGCATTTGGGGCTCGCCGAACCGCCTTCCCGCACGCCGCGGTCCCGTCCCGCGCGTAAGCCGCGCCAACCCTCGCTGGCCGCTCGCCTCGCCGGTCGTCTCGCCCACTTCCCGCACATGTCCGCCCCGAGGAGAAGGAGCCGAGCTCAGGCTGCCATGGCGAGACGTAAAAGTGTCGCCACCGTTTCTTCACTTTCCTAGTGTTTGTGGGTACCGCTGCTACGTCTAGAGCCAACATGGGGGGAGGCATCTCCGTTCTCCCGGCCGGTGTGGATGGAGAGAACCAACCGGCACGGACAGCACCGGCTTCCACGACCATAGGACATGGCGTCTAGGTGCAGCACTCCGTCGAACACCCAAGCAGCGACGCAAACGGAGCGGCGTTGGGCAGCACGCGGCGCAGAAGCACTACGGGGGGGCGTGGCCGATGGGTTTGGCAGCACCGCGGCAAGGCATG